TATTCAATTTCCTTAAATGTACGTAGTCTGGACATTTCATTGTGTATTTTTGTGAGATGAGCTTTCATTTAAAATGTAGAACCTGGGAGGAAAAGCAAATTCTGAAGGAACCTTCTCTAAATCCAAGTATTAGATTTTCAAAAATATATGCCTGGAAAATATTTTTTTTTTAGTTCTTATAGGTATCCTCCCATGACCAGATCCAGTGTCTTAATACAAAACCAATTAATGTTTTGGAATGTGTAGTCTTCTGAACCCATTAAGAGTATGACAATAAGCTTTTTCTCCTCCTACACCACTTTTATCCCCTGCTAACAATGGCCACAGAGGAGACCAACTAGTGAGGATGCTTGTAGTCTTTAGTAAGTGTTTAATCCTTATGTGCTGCAGTGAAACAAATTATTATTTTGCAAAGACCATGAAATGTACTTCCTGATGTCCCCCGTAGACAGAACAATGCCAGTAGAAATCCAGAAGTGAAACACTGCGGACTTCTGCTAGACTGTATCGTGACTGGATAGTTTCACTCAGGACATTGAATTTTCTGTTACCTGGTGGTGAGTCAGAGCCATTTTGTATGTGGGCTGTTTGTTTTGTTTTGTTTTGTTTTGTTTTCACTGGAAGTGTTTGCTTCCATAAAACTCACGGAGGTCTTCCAGGTATCTAAAACTCAGTAAGTGAAAGAGTAGCAGTCTGCAATGTCATCTCCACTCTGCCTTAGGGTAAACTCTGTGAAGTTTAAGGCAGCCAGATCTGAAGAAGGAATGAAAGATGACATCAGTTGTTGCTTTTTTTTTTTTTTCTCTGTAAAGGAAAACACACTTTTCTTAGGACAGTCTTATGGACTTCTTAAATGACTTGATCTTCAGTCTGAGATGATCTAGGATGAGATCATGTTGACATACCTATAAGCTTCAGCAGAACTTCACCAGGTACCTGAACATAGGGTGGAAAGTACATAGCACAGCTGGCCTGCAGAAAGTAAAGCAGTGATTTTAATCAACTTTTAAGAACACTAATTTATGAATTTCACTGTTAGGAAGTTATACAGGGGACGAGTTCCAGAGATAATAGAAGAACTGTTGTAATAGAAAGAACATACAGACTCCCTGCACCCAACTTAAACTCTCAGATTCCTTCTGGTTACTTTGTTTGGGCAGTGCCTCCTTCTGGGTAGGAAACTGTATGCCGACTTGTTACAACATGTGTTTGAGGATTTTTCCCCCAGCATGACATCAGTCTATGGGCTTCATTGTACCTGCTGAACTGTTATTAGATGAGGTGTTACTGATTCTGGAACATATACTAAGCACTGGTCATACGACATTAAATACTGAGAGGTAATGAAGAAATTTAAAAACTGGACAGTAACCATAAGGAATTCAGAGTTACTCACCCTTATGCATTTAATTAGAAATATCAGCCTGAGTTAAGGAGGAGTAACTTTTATCACATTTAAAGAGTGCCATCATATGAAATTAACAGCTAGATTTGTACTAATTGATCTAAAATATTGGGACATCCTGTAACTGAGAAATATCTCACTTACAGAAACTGACTCAACTTCATAGTAAAACCTGAAATTTTATGTCAAGGTTCCACTTGTACAAGTTGAAAATTCCTGAAAAACACATTTTTTATAATAAAAGTGCTAATTAAATCCCTAGTTTTAGTTGTACTATTAAACATCCATCTAAGACAATGAAGAATATGAAATGAAGAGCATTAGGCTTTTCTGATAGGATATACTGTGCTTTAAAATGTATTTTATTGATCCTAAAATTACAAGATCAATTACTGACATTTTCTTGAGGATCAATCTCAGATTAAATGCCAAAATGAAGAAAAGGTTTTCATATGTACTAAGTCCAAAATCAGAAACAGATTGCCATACTCATGTGAACATTCAGAAACCTTTTCTGCTGATTAAACGGTATGTCTGAAATATATCTGTTATACCAGCCACCATAGCACTTTTTGGTGAACCGAAGAAGTCCTACAGTGAAATCAAACTTTTGAGTAAAATCTGTACTACTTTAATCCAATTTCCTTCTAACATCTTTTTTTCCCCTGTTTTTAGGTTCATGTATATTCTGTCTGTCAATTACAATGCAAAGTCTAAATAACAGATTTAAGCAAGAATGTTTGAGTGTGAAAATAATTCATGTGAATTGCTAATAGGCTGGTGGGAATATGTTTTTCCACATGAAGGGTGCATGTCCCATCAAAGACTGCAGACTTGATTTTCCACCATTTCATCCGTTGACTAGCTGCTATTACCTGCAAAAGGGACAGGAAAGCTGGGAACAGTCTGCTATCAAATGAGTACTCTGCTGTAACCAAAACAGCAGTATTGCATCTGTTCTTTCCTCTCTTTGAACAGATGCAAGTAATGCTGTAAGCAAATTGAAACAACAAGCTATGGGGCAAAAAGCAGTCTTCTTGTTACTTCAACTAAGCAAAATGGAGATTTGATAGCACATACATGATGTTTCTCTTCCATGCTCCCTGGTTTTGCTACTTAAGGCATAAGCCTTGCAGTTAACATCCTCCAGTGACATGAATCGATCAGGCTTGCATTCACCTCGACAGTCATGTGATTTGGCACAGAAAATAAAGGGACAGTATGAAGCCTCTCAGGCAATTAACCTAAGCTCCGATGCTTCCCACACCAGCCTATTTTCAATTTTGTCACAGTACGGTTTATACACTCTAACATTACTGCTCAGAAGATAGAGTGATGATTCAGGTTTACTAAAAATGGCTTCACAATACTGCAATTATGCCTGTGAAGCTTCATCTTGAATCATGTATTTATAAGTTTCTTCTCACTGAGAAATAAATACGTGTGGTGTTTTATCAGAAAACTTAAGTCACCAGATACCTGAAACACTTGTATACCATCTTCAAGAAAGCATGGCTTTTTCGGTCAATTTGCTGTCAATTTATATTTTTTTTTCCTGTTTTTTTTTTGTCTTTTTTTTTTGTCTTTTTTTTTAATTATTTAATATGTATAATACCATAGATGACCTCCCTTAATACTGCTGTCCATACAAATAAATGAGGACTAATATGCCACTGCTGCATCCTGTCATGCCAGAAGATCAACATTACTTTGAAGATTATCTAGAGTAGGTGCCCAGACCCACTGAAGTCAATGAAATGATGCCTACTGGCTTCTGTGGGAGTCCAACTTGGACATTATTCTGGCAATCTGTCCACCACTAAATTAAACTACTATGGGACATAAAAGCCCAAATGAAGAAAAAGTAGAAATTCAGGAACTAAAACTGAACCACAAATAAATATCCTAATTCAATGGCATTCTGAGCATACTTAAATAAAACACACACTTACATGCATACACAACCAAATAATAAAAAAAAAAAGTTATGAATTTAACAATCTGAAAAATTCATAGTTTAAAATTGTTTACATTTAAACAATTGAGTATAATAGGTAGCTTTCTTGACTTTCCATTTATTTCCCTGAGCACTGATCTTTGGAACATTTGGAGTTTCAGAACTGTCTAGTTCATGATTCCTAAAATAGTTATCTTAAGTAAAACACTGTCTTTATGTCAAAAATCAATTCCTTAAGTAAAACTAAGATACAGCTTTTATGAACTACAATGTATACAGCCAATCTTCTTAAAGCCAACAACTGTTATTACACTTCTGCGTCTGTATTTAGGCACCCAGCTGGTCTGTTTTCCAAAATCACCCTGCAGCCTAGCAGTTTCCATTCAACTCAGTACAGGGTGCTATGCTGTCTCATTAACTCCTCTAATTGGAGACTTACATGAGAACTTTTGCCTCCTTGTTTAGTTACTCATTTTGCAAAATCCCAGCTGTACGAACAATACAGTATGTTACAGGATTGGTTTTGTGCCTAAGTTAGTATTAAGGGTAAAGTCTTCAGGACTTCCCAGTCACTTTCCTGTAAGGGGTTAAGGAAATGCATCTGCAGAGAACCAGCATAAAACCTATCTTCAGTACTAAAATGGGACTTAGCTAGGGCATATATTTTAGGCTGACATCCTGCACAAGAACCGTTGGCCAGAAAGAGCTGTGTCTTAAATTTGTGCTATTTAGAACTACTTGGCAAATCGGCAACTGCTGCTTTTAACTGTCTCCTCTAGATTAGAGCTTTGATTGTGAGCTTCACAGAATTCACTTTGCAATTTTAAGACTCCTCAGGCATTCTCCATTTTAGATTATACAGAGTGTGCAAGTCAAAACACTTTAGAAAACAAAACAGTGCAGAGATTTGAGTATTTTTGGGCTAAACTCTCCTCTACCCAATTCTAGGGCTGTAAATTACGTCAATCTCTCTGAAGCTAAAAATCCAAAAATGATTTTCCATCGATCACAGAAACACACTGTAACTTTTCGCTCCCTTCACTCTCTGTCTCTGTCTCTGGATAGCTGATACACTGGCATTATGCAGCAGGCTCCAAACACAGGATTAACAGAAAGGGAAAGGTTATTTTGTAATACTTCATTTCAGTATGATGTAACTGGGGGAGGGGATACTGAACCAAAAGCAACCTGAAAATTTGCTTTTGGTTCTTTGTGGAACACGAAATTAAGCCTTTACCTATTCTTGAATGATGTGATGAAATATGCCATGTCTCTCTTTAAGTAGCACTTTCTTGCACTAGCAGTTACTGGCATTCCACAGCAGAATCCAAAAGGATTTGGCAGTTTTCCACTTTGCATACAGCCTTTTTAATACCTCTAAACTGAGAAAGAGTTAACAGCATGCCATCCCATTATTTCACCATCCCACCCTCCCTTTCAGGGATTAAAGAGACCTTAAAAAAAAAAAAAAAAGAGGAGGAAGAAGAAGAAAATTCTTGCTTTGTAATAGGAGTATTAAACATTGTTTTGAAACTCATTTGGAAGATGTCTTCCAAGATAATTTATCTTTTTTGTTTGGTTGTTTTTGTTTTTGTTTTGTTTTGTTTTTCTTTAAAACTGACCATTGCACCAGTTAAGGCTGTTTTACAATATATATATTTCAAATAAAACTTTTAATATTCAAGCTTACCAGATTGATGAATTGTAACAGGTAAAATGGAACTCATTACAAGATAAACCATGTAGTTGTACAAAATAGAATTAAACCCTTCACCTGTGTGAAACAAAAAGAAATCCTGCCTTGCATTAAAAACACAGAACCTGTTTACAAAAAGGAATGTGTATGACATTTGGACTTCCTTTTAACTGCCATATCCTAGCAACATCTCAGTTGTGTTAGTAAAGGAACTAATCGTCGATTTTAAACTGCAGTGAATTTACCAAACATTTTCACTATAGACTTCTGAAAGCTTTTACAGTAAGAAGTTATCAACAAAAGCAGGCACATTAGTGTACAAAAACGTTGATTTTTTTTCCTGTTTCTTTTTCAAAGTGCAGGTTTTTCTCAATGTGCATCTTACAAGACCAATGAATGTTTTAACTCACTAAATCTTAAAACAGAACTCAATTCTCCCAAGGAGTAGTGTAAACGTTAAAGATCCCCAATACATCTCTAGTAAACGTGACACAAATGTCTCTGCGTTGTTTAGAAATTTAGCTCTTTTGAGAGGTAAAGAAGCTTCATGACGCCTTTTCCTTACACTGGCTGGTTATCATAAATGGGTAACTCTGGACTGCTAAAGCTGGAGACTGATGAATCACTTTGAAGGGAACTAAACTTGGCTACGGAGGAGAGGCAGCGGGAGGAACCAACCCTTCGGCGTTTCTTGCGCAGCCTTCGGAAAATTCAGCCGCCGGCACGGAGGGGCCGGTGGGACGGAGCGGGGGGAAGGAAGGGGAGAGCAGGGAGGGAGAGGGGAGAAGCTTCCGCAGAGGCAGGGCGGCACCTGCCCACGACCCGTCCCGTCGGTGGTGCGAGGGCTGTCCCCGGGCCCTGCGTCTGAGAGGAGCTGGCGGACCCGCTCCCGGGCCGTTCCGGCGCCTGGTCCCACTCCGGCTGCCACGGAGAGCTGAGGGCCTGGCTGGCAGTAGGGGGTCCCGCCGGCGGTGGGCGCTAGGTGCCGCGGGCGCAGGGCTCCCTGGGGTAGATCTCCTCGTAGGCCGGAGGCTGCTCGCTGGGCAGCGGGTAGCAGTAGGGGTAGGAGGCGTTGAGCTCGGGGTCCATGGGCGAGTAGCCAGGAAGCTCGACGGAGGGATGCCCGCCGCAGTGCACCTCCACGCCAGCCTCGTCGAAGACGTGGAAGACGCCCACGTTGATGTACGAGACGGCCTGGAAGGGACAATCCCCGGGGCTGAGCTCAGGCTCGCCGCCGGAGAAGAGGGAGCCCTGGCTGTGGCGCGGCGCCCGCCGCCCGCCACCGACACCGCCGCCGCCGCAGGGGCCGCCCCGCCGCCGCCGCCGCCTCCCGCTCGCTGCCGCTGCAACCGCCGGGGCCGCTCGCCGCCGGCGCCGCCGGCGTCCGCGCTGCTGCGAGGCCTTATAGTTTTTTACGAGGAGCAGGTTAAGCAGGCCCAGGAGGCACTCCAGCGCGTTGAAGACGGTGGAGAGCACCAAGCCTTGCTGGTAGTCCCGGAGCTTCTGGCAGCGGAGCGCCGCGGCGGAGCCGTCGGGGACCGCTGGGCCGCTCCGCGGGCGGGCCGCGCCGCCGGGCTGAAGCAGACAGTAGTGCGAGTACTTCCTCTCCACCAGCGACACGGTGTCGCCGTCGATGACGGCGCCGGCGAAGGCGCTCAGCACGCCCAGCATGAACACCAGCACCCCCAGCAGCAGGAAGTTCTGCCGCCCCCCGGGCGGCGCCTTCTCCACTGGCCCCGACGGTGCGGCCGCCGCCTCCCCCCCTCCGGTGCCGGCTCCCGCCGGGTCCGGGTCCCCGGCCGGGTCCGAGGCCAGAGCCGGGGTCAGGGCCGCTGCCGCGGCTGGAGCTGGAGCCGGTGCCGCGGGTGCCTCGTCGGGCGGACGACAGCAGAGCAGCGCAGCGGCGAGCAGTGAGAGTCCGGCGGCCAGCAGCAGCCCCGAGTAGAAGGCTCCAGCGGCGGTGCCCAGGCGGAAGGGCTCGCCCTTCAGCTCGGAGCCCAGCGAGAAGCACTTGAGGCCCACGGCGGCGGCGCTGAGGGCGCAGGCGAGCAGGAGGCAGCTGGAGAGCGCGGCGCAGGCTCCCCGCACGCTCCACTTCATCCTCCGCGCCGCCGCCGCCGCCGCCTCCCCGCCGCCCGCCTCATCCTCCTCCCGCGGCCCCCCCTGGCCCCGCAGCGGCGGCGGCGGCGCGGCGCGGCGCGGCCATGCGACCGCGGCGCTCCCCGACGGGGCGGCTAGGCTCCGCTTCGCTCCGCACGGCAGGCAGCCGCCGGCCGCAGTGAGCCGGGCGCGGCGAGCGCACACGCTCCCCCCACCGCCTCCCGGCCGCCGCCGCCTCCTCGTCCCCGCCCGCCCTCTCTTATCGCGGCGGCTGCGGGGAGGCGATTAATTATGGATGGAGCCGCGGCGGGCGGGGGGACGCCGGGGTAAGGGGGCGGCCCGTCGGCCCCACACGGGTGGCGGGGAGAGTGCGACCCCCGGCTCAAACCATCTCGTCCGGGGGGCGGCAAGGCCGAAATCCTAGCCCCCTCCCCTCGTGGCACGGGGGGTCCGCAGGCCGCCCCCGGGACAGCTCCCCTCCGGGAAGCACAGGCAGTTCGGACAGAGGGCGGCAGGGTCTGCAACCTCCCACTTGTTCCGATGCGGAATGTTGCCTGCCGCACTCCCTCCCTCCATCTCTATCCGATCAATCAACTTACTTATTTATTAGTCTATTTATTTATTTATTTAGCTCTTGCACTTGCTAAAACCACCGTGCATCCCTGTCAGTGTGCCGGCGGCTCTAATGCAGCGGAGCGACCCCTCCGCGTTAGCTGCTGTCGCCCTCACCCCCCCTCTCTGCTGTGTGCTCTGCCGTGCTCTGCCGGCGAGCCCCGTCAGGGAGCTTCCGCCAGGGCCACTCACTCCCCTCCGCAGACGGCGGGGCTCGGGGGACAACTGTGCCCCCGGAACCTCCCATCCGGGAGCGCCCGCAGCCCCGGCGGCGGGGAGCCGGTTGTACGGGGGTGGCCGCAGCCTGGCGCGGCACGGCGTGGCCGGTGGCTGAGCGGCGAGCACCCGGGATGGCTTCCCGAAGCAGCGACGGGAACCTCAGCCTCGGAAAGGAAAAGTAGGGCCCGTGCCTGTGCCGGCAATTGGGATCCAGGCAGGGAGTGGGACTAGGGAAGGCTCGTCCTCGCCTCTTCCTTTTCCTTCCGGGAAGCTGGAGCCTCAAGGTTCCCCATTTTTCCCTTCTGCCGTGCGTACGCCAGCCCTGCTTGGTATTTTTAGCCGGCGTCGCTGATTAGCATTCAGGGGAGCAAGCGAGGAAGACGTTTTCCAAACCGTTTTCTCTTCCCTTTCTCACAGGGCGCATGTATCTGTTAGCGGCAGGTGGTGTGTGTGAGAAGTGAGCTGGGGTTTGGCTTTCTCCAGGGATGGTGACCCTGCTCCCACTGGCCTGTGAGGCAGGCCGGTCAGCACCTCCCTCACCAGCCCCAGCGCTCTGCTGCGGGCCTGGGCTGGGCTGGGCAGCTGAGCGCGGGTCTTTGCTGTAGAAGAGAGAGAGGTTCTCTGGTCCCTGTATGGGACAGTGACCCTTGCTGGGAAGCTATACTGCCTGGAGTCCAGCCCTCCCCAGTGACACTGTCTAGAAGCATCCATGGCTCCAACAGTGCCATCCTGCCCCTTGGGGCCACACGGAAAAGGGAATTATGCCCCCTGGCACATTCACAAAGGGTCCATGGAGCACTCTGCGTGAGGAAAGCCAGTAATCCTGATAGTCCACAGCTGGCTGACCAGTGGCTACCTGTTCCCTTTGCCAGGTTGTAGCTATGGCTGTGAGCTAGGGCCCTCCGGGGGGGAATGGATGGGTATTCCACCCACAGTCATCATCAGCTCTTCCTGTTACCAGGCTGTCCCTGGCTGGTGAGGACTGGGGCATGCACATCTGGCCTTGTGAAGATTTTGCTGTAGGATCTGAAATTTTGGTTGTGCATGTGCTGAGTGCTTGGACTGGTGGGGTGTATCTTCAAAAGAACTTGACCTGGGTCCTTATGATTCCTAAGAAGTAAATGCATAGAAGGCACACAGCATTTTACAGAAGACAGCACCCATCTCCTGAAGTCTCTGTTTGGCTCTAAATATTGCCTTGGAGTACATGTGAGCTCTCAATCCAGCTGCCAAACCAGAGGGCCCTGAAAGACAGACTGTGTGTGGGGTTGTGGACGGAAATAAGGTGTAGGTAGTGGGAGGTAAGCACTTGATGAACTAATTATATATAGAATGTGCAAAGTGACACTGAAACTGACATACAATGTAAACTTACTTGCATGCAAACAGAATGTATTGTGATTTGATTCATTTCATTGTTACTATCAAGAGGTTAATAGGGTTCAAAAAAGGATTAACTTTATTATGGATAGTGAGAACATTCACTTAGCACTGAACAAATACAAAATTAAGAAGATATCTTAGCCTTTATGCATCAAATTATCTATCAGCCTTCAACTGCCAGTGGTTAGGTTAGGAAAAGCAAGTCTTCCACTGGGGGCAGATTCTTCCTTTATTGTACAGAGTTTCTTGATGTTTCTTTGCTGTTTCCCGTTTTGGCAGCTGCTGTAAGGCAAGGTAAGGCTTCTCAGTCATGGTCCTTCACATGCTCCTACATCTGTCTCATTTGTTTAGGCATCCTCACCTTGAATGTCATCTTCTAAGGAAAGGACCCTCCTTTCCCTGTATTTGTCACAGGACCCCGATCTTGGATACCACCCCTGAAAGCTGTGCATTGTGAGAGGCCAGGCTGCTGCACAAGTTTAATAATGTAATTAGTAATTCTGTTGCACCTTTTTATTCCTTCCGTCAAGCAATTTGCTACTTGTAATCTCCAGATCTTACCTGTTTCTCCCCAGAACTAGCTTCAAAGCACCATGTTTGAATGCAAGGCTGGAAGTTTCACTATCAACATGCTTCCCCACGTGTTCTTTGATACTTAGAAACCTCCCATGTTGCAGTGTCACTCCGAGTTAGCACAGCTTTTCATGTGGTTATTTACAGCTTTGCACTCCAGCATATTGTCAGTAAGAGGATACTTTATAAACACACATGTACACATACGCACCGAGTACGGTATTAGCACACATCCTGCATGTTGATTTTCAACTGTCTTTGGATAAAATGTTTTTACATCTAACAGAAGACTATAAAATACCCTATCACATCTTTCTCTTACATGAATGATTAATTGATGATTGAATTGGAAATACTGTGAAATATGAGTAACGTATCATCCTAATAAAGGTCACTTGAGAGTTCTCTGGATCCCAATGTGAACTGCAGATCAACTCTGCCCTAGCTGACAGCACTCATGCTCATAGCTGATACATGTGTGCCTCATTGTTCAGCCAGTTTTGCCTGCTGAAAAAAAGCATGTCCATGTGCAACAAAAGATGACAACTTCAAGCCACTTGGCTGCATTAGTCCCTCACTTAAATCAATCACTGCAGGTGAATTGGTCTGTCAGCCTCAGTTAATAGCAAAGCCGGAACCTGATGGAACTGTGCTACAGTTGCTGACTATGAAGTATAGAGGATGCCATGTGTTTTGAGTCTCTGGGTGTTAGTTTTACCTTCAAGCTTTGTTAGATAGTTTTTCTGTTTCAAATGCCCAAATCAAAATTTATTGAAGTTGTTTTCAAGGGACGTTTTTGTGGACTTTGGAAGAGGTGTACGAAGTTTTGTGGGACAACCCCAGCCTAGGACACGTGTTCCCAGCTCTCTCCTCATGACCATAGGGTGAGCTTAGTGGGGAAGTAATTTATCACAGTATCACAGTATCACAGTATGTTAGAGGTTGGAAGGGACCTTGAAAGATCATCTAGTCCAATCCCCCTGCCGGAGCAGGAGCACCTAGATAAGGTTACACAGGAACGTGTCCAGGCGGGTTTTGAATGTCTCCAAAGAAGGAGATTCCACAACCTCCCTGGGCAGCCTGTTCCAGTGTTCTGTCACCCTCACTGAGAAGGAGTTTCTTCTCAAGTTTAAGTGGAACCTCTTGTGTTCCAGTTTGTACCCATTGCCCCTTGTCCTATCATTGTTTGCCACTGAGAAGAGCCTGGCTCCATCCTCGTGACACCCTCCCTTTATATATTTATATACACTAATAAGGTCACCCCTCAATCTCCTCTTCTCCAAACTATGGAGACCCAGCTCCCTCAGTCTTTCCTTATGGACAAGTCCTGCCTCCAGAGGGGGCTAGGGAGCTTTGGTCCAAGGTTTTGTTTAGGTCACAGGGGAGTTGAGTGGCTATGCTTTCTGGGTGCTGGTTGAAAGTGGGCACTGTCATGACCAGTGATACAGGCTTGCTTTGCTCAGTGTGTACACAGCTGGATGGTTGCAGCAAGGTGCAGATCGCCCTCTTAACTTTTTGTGGTGAGTCAGTGGCACAGAACTATTAATTATTGCTCTCCAGGCTGGAAGCTAAATTGTGTGTTTTAAGAGAGATGGAGATCTTCAGCTTATGCCACCAAAATGCAAAGCGTTGTATTATTTTATTGTCTGCCTCTCCTCCCACACTGAGTTTATGTTAAGATTACTTCAGTGCCAATTTGATAAATGGTAGTCATAGGTTTCACTATTCAGACATGATGGCTGTGTAACCTCCCATAACCTACTCTGTTGCCTACTACTGCAGCTTTTGTTTGTTTTTATAGGGGACATTATGGACTATAAAATGTTTACAAAAATGGTTTTACACATGGTTATGAAGAATACATTAGAAATTTGAAACTCTGAAGGTAGAACCTGTCATGTTTCTTTCCAGTCTTTCCTTTTCATTCGCAAGGTTCACAAGATGTTTCTGTGCGTACGAGGCCTGCTGTTCTCCTACTTTCACAGCAGTTTATGTGGAAGACTGATCTCTGCAGGGCATCTATGGGAAATACTTTAGGGAACACATGTTAGGATAGGCCCTAAATCAGGCTAGAAGCCTGGAGCAAACTAGTGGCTAGATACTGGTGAAAACCCAAATGTCTAAAGATGCTGCTCCAGTAGGTAATATTTAAAATAGGAAGCAGGGAAGCTGAAAAGAATATATAAGGAGCTAAGAAAGAGAAAGCAAAGACTATGGTAGAAGCTGGACAGGTGTAGCTATATTGGCTGCTGTTAG